AAAAAAGGTAAACTTGAGGCTTTTATAGGTAAGTGGATACAACTACAGATCATACTCATAAGTGAAATAAATCAGACTCACACGTATAAATATCATATTGTCTCCCTAGTGTAAGAATCTGAAAGAGTAAATAAAATCTGTAAGGTACAATAGATAATGTGAAAGGTAAAGAAATTGTTCAAAAGGAAAGAACAACTGGGATGAGGGAAAGAAGAAAAGAAAAAAGGAAGGGAAAAATATGTATATATATACACAAGATAACTACAATAATTGTACTTCTAATTTCTATTGGTTTAGTGAAAGGATGAGTGAATGTGTAATTGTTTGATGAATCTTACCTGCCTATATTTGGTTATCTGAGTAACCAGTATGAAGATAACAATATGTAATGCAACAGCCATTGTTAATTTCCTCTACCTTGTTTGAAATTCTGTATCTTTTTTATTGTTTTTGTGTTGTTTTGTTTATATCTTTGTTTTTGTTAATTTGTTTTTGTTCCTTTCTCTTTAAAGTAAAAAAATAGATTTACATAAAAAGAAGTCAAATACCTCTACAATTAAAACTACAGTATTCTGAAAAAGAAAACTAAAGAGGATGTCTGAAGATTGAAAGATATTCCATTTCTGAATATATAGAACCAATATTATCAAAATGGCCATACTTCCAAAACTGATATGCAGATTTAACACCATCCCAATAAAAATGCCAATAGCATTCCTCACAGAACTTGAAAAAAAAATCCTAAAATTCATATGGAACCAGCAGAGACCCAGAATAGCAAAAGCAAGCCTGATCAACAAGAAAAAAGTAGGAAGTATCACAATCCCAGAATTCAAATCATAATACAAAGCTACAGTAATAAAAAGATCATGGCATTTTCATGAAAGCACACATGTATATCAATGAAACAAAATAAAGGATATAGAAACAACTCTGAGAACATTGAGCTATCTGCCCTTTGATGAATAGGAAAAAATTGTGTTGGAGGAAAGATAGCTTCTTTAACAAATGATTCTGGGAAAACAGGCTATCCATATGCAGAAGATTGAATTTAGACTGATATTGCTCACTACATAGTAAAGTAAAATCAAAAAGGATCAATGATCTAAATGTTGATACTGATCATTGTATTACTTGTTTCCCTAAAATAGGTAGTCTTGAAGACATAAGTGTAGGCAAGGGCTTTCTGGAAGAATACCAATTGCCCAAGAAATAGTCCATGAATCATAAATGAGATTGTGTCAGTAAAAATTTCCCATAGCAAAGGAAAGAACTAACAAAAGGTACTTACAGTTAGTTGACAACTTACAGCATGGGAAAAAAATTAACAGCTATTCCTCAGACAGAGGATTAATAACCAGAATATATAAAGAACTAAAAAATATATTAATAGTGGCATATCTGGGGGCAGGGAGAGGTGGAGGGTGTGGTCCACCTCAGGTGGCACATTTTGGGGAAAACATTATTGGCCAAAGGAAAATTATTTTGTAACAATTTACTCCATTTTAACATGGAATATGTTGGAGGGTGGCACATTTTGGGGAAAACATTATTGGCCAAAGGAAAATTATTTTGTAACAATTTACTCCATTTTAACATGGAATATGTTGGAGGGTGGCAAATAGAAGGACTGCCCAAAGGACCATACACGCTGGCTACTAGGCCCTTCAAAATAAAAAACTCAATCAAAAAATGGGCAACTAAAATCAATGGAAACCAGGGGCTGGGGATTTAGCTCAGCAGCAAAAGCGCTTGCCTGGCAAGCGCAAGGTCGTGAGTTCGTGAGTTCCTGGTACCGGAGAAAAACCAAAAAAAAATAAAAATAAAAAAAAATAAAATAAATTAAATAAAATAAAATCAATGGAAACCTCTCAGAAGTACAAATGACCAACAAATATGTGAAAAAATGTTTATTCCCCCAGCCATTAAAGAAAGGCAAATTTAAACAACACTTAGGATTCCACCTTACTCCAGAAAGAATCTCTATCATCAAGAAATCAAATAATAACAGACAATGGAGAGGAAGTGTGGGGAAAAAACCCTTCTACTTTGTTGATATATAAACCAGTACATAACAAAACACAAACTGAAAGTGAGAAATTGCCAAATCTACAATATTTAACTTTAGCAGACTTATATTACAGGGTGACAGATCAATATGATGAAAAGCATTTACAATACAGAACATAAAAACCATACAGTTAAAGAGTTCCAAGTGCCTAATTTCATTCCCCAACAACCATCTATCACTGTTTGCTTTGGATCTGAAACCAGCTGGCCTGCAGCTCAGTTCTTCCCCGCTGTGCATTTCTATTCTGCATTTGGCCTGCAGGGTTCTCTGCTTTGTTTTTGTTATGCTTACCTATAGCTGATTTTTTAATTTCATTTTTATTATCTGGTACTTTTAAATATCTGCCATCATTATATGTTTGAAGGCAATAATATATACTGAAACATAAACCATTGCATAATATTGACCCAAAGTTACCTCTTAATATTTTTTAAAATTATATCTTTTGAGTATGTAGTTTATGAACATGGTAAAAGATTTTAAGCAAGAGGTATAGAGTGTTTTATATGCCATTGTATTCAAACTGTTTACAACTGTTTTCCCAAAAGATGACAAATAATCTAACAAATAACATCTATATATAAACTGGATAAATTTGTCAATGATCAGTTCTACTATATTCCATGTATTCATAATTTTTCTATAAAATTTATCCTTCAAAATAACCGATGAATCTAGCCCCTCCTTACTAACCTCTGTCCCAGCAGACTTCCTGCTGTGTCATACACATTAACATCACATTTTTCCTACTCTTTTCACCCCGATGCTTCATAACTCCTCAATTATCAGTGCTTCATTATCATTCCTCATGTGAAATGCAAATCCCCAAAATAAATTCATCATCCCAAATCCCTGCTCTCTGGTAACTAAAAATTTCTTCTACGATGACTTAAGCCACATTCTGCATCCATTCTGGACTTTTTGCATTTACATTTGCACATTGGATAATAATTTGTCAGTGCCTATTAAATATGTGTTCACTTATTGGAAGATATATGTTTAGTAGCATCCCAAGGTTAGGGAGTTGATGTCTCAAAATGAAAGAATGTGAGCACATACAAATCTAGATTTGGATCTTAGCCCCTGTCTGTGAAAGGTGGAAAGGAACCTGGGCTCCAAGAATCTTCCTATGATACATTTGGGTTGATTCCTCACAGATTACTGTGAGGAAAGAATGAAATAATGTGTACATAAAACCCAACACAATGCCCAACACATAATTATTTATCAATAAAGAATGGTTTTCTCATTTCCTGCCTCCTACATATTTCTTGCACTTACTACTCATTAGGTTATAAGCAGCTTTAGCATCAGGACTTGTTTATACTTAAAAGCATCAGTGCAGAGACCCTACACAAACGCATATTCAGTTGTGTGATGAAGGCGCGCATAACTCACTTCTCACATATGCTCTGATAATGCCCCCACCAGGGCCACACAAAGGAACATCACTTTCCAGAAGTGATGTTCAGAAGTGAACTCACACTACAAACAGCACATCAGGAGGAAGTCTGAATTCTAAACACACCAAGGCACCCAGGAAATTAGTAGGAGGCCTCAACTTACCTGAAAAAACCAGCTCCCCTGCAGCAAGATGAGGTTTGACCGGAGGAGCTCCAGAAGTATATTGTTCTCTGTAAGGAGCTCAATGAAGGCAACCAAGCCTGTCACAAAGGAGACGAGGCCCACCAGGTTGTGCATAAACATGTCCACCATTACCCGGCCATAAGTGTGGTTGTAGAAGATAAAAGCTAATATGGAAAAAGAAGAGATTGTTGAAGTCAATGAAACAAAAGTCTACCCACTGCCTTTCTGTTCTTCCCTTCCATTTCTCTGTTCACAGAATTATATATTGGTGCATGCTGCAGTATCTAATAATGATGTTCACGTTCAAAACTGGAATGTACACAGGCACATGTTGATCATTCTTGTTTTACTTTACCCTTTCACCCTCCCTTCTGCCAGCCTCCCCAGGTCCCCTTGCCATCTCTACCAGTTCTGACTTCCTGTTTCCTACCATCTCACTTCTTTCTTCATTTTATTTATACTTTGGGTATCTGATATAAGAGGAACCATGTGACTTTTTTTGAGTTTTCTTTACATCACTTACCATAATGGTCCCAGCATGCTATCATATTCCCACACACACTCAAAATTATACTTCTGAATGGCTGAGTAGTATTCCATTGTATATAACTATACCACATTTTCTTTATTCATTCATCTGTTGATAGGTATGTAGACAGCATCTGAAATTTAGCTATTATGAACTGTCCTGCTATAAACATTGGTATGCATTAATGGTAATATAATGGCTTTAAATTTTATGGCACACCAGACATACCTAGTCTCCTTATCTTTGACAAGGTGCCAAACACATTCACTGGAAGAAAGATAGCCTCCTTAATAAATGGTGCTAGAAAAATTGGCTTTGCATGTGCCAAAGATTAAAACTGAACTCATATTTTTCACTGTGCACTAAACAAAATTTGAGATGGGTGCAAGATCTAAATATTAAAGCAAAAACATTAAATCTGCTGCAAGGTAAAACTCTTGAAGATACTGGTGTAGGCGAAGACTTTATGAATAAAACCCAATTGCACAAGAGCTATCACAAAGAATCAACTGGGATCTCATCTTATTAAAAAGCTTTTGCACAGCAAGACAAACCACCAACAGAGCGAAGAGACAACCCACAGAGTGAGAAAAAATGTTTGTAGGGGCTGGGGATTTAGCTCAGCGGCAAAAGCACCTGCCTGGCAAGCGCAAGGTCGTGAGTTCAGTTCCCGGTACCGGAGAAAAACCAAAAAAAAGAAAAAATGTTTGTCAGCTGTTCCTCAGATAAAGAATTACTGTCAAAAATGTATAAAGATCTCAAAAAAATCAGATATCCCAAGTTTAAAAACCCAATTGAAAAATGGGCATCTGAGATGAATACACACTTCTCAGATGAACAAACACAAAACAACAAATAAATATATGAAAAAATGTTTAACATCATTGGTCACTCAAGACATACAAGTTAAAACAACACTGTTCTCATCCCAGAAAGATTGTCTATCATCAAGAAATCAATCAATAACAAATGTTGGAGGGGCTGTGGGGAAACTGTTGGTGGGAGTACAGGCTGATGCAAACACTGTGGAAATCAGTGTGGAGATTCCCAAAAAAAACTAGGATTGCAGGTCCCATTTGACCCAGCTGTTCCCCTTTTGGATATCATCCCAGAAGAATTAAAAATATCATACTGCAGTGATAATATGTGCAACCACGGTTATAGCAACACAATTTCTAATAGCTAGATCTTGGAAACAACCCAAAGCCCATCAACTAAGAAATGAATAAAAAAAGATATGGCCTGTTTATACAACGGAGTACTACTTAGCCATAAAGAAGGATAAACTAGAGGCTTTTATAGGTAAATGGATGCAACTTGAGACCACAGTCATAAGTGAAATAAATCAGATATATGTGTGTAAATATCATATTGTCTCCCTAGTGTGAGAAGCTGAAAGAGTAAATAAGATCCAAAATGTATAATAGATACTGCAAAATGGGAAGAAACTCCAAAAAGAAAGAGAAACTGGGATGGGGGAATGGAGAAAAGAAGGAAGGGAAAAGCAAAAAGAAAAATACTATACACATATGTATGGTAGCTAAGATAGTTATAGTACTAATTTTTCTTAGTTCTTTGAAAGGAAAATTTTGTGGTGATATCATTTGGACAGTGCTGATATTTTGTACTCTGAGTAACTAATTTATGGATAACAATAGGCAATTTATTAACCATTGTTTTTATCTAGTTTTGAAATTATTATCATGTTTTGAAATTCTGTGTTTTTCTTCTTTAAAATAAAATTTTAAAAAATTTTATGGGACAAGACCCAGAAGAGGTATAGAGGGGCAAAATGGAATTTCTGCTTTTAGCGTCTGAGAACTATCCTTGCTAATTTCCATAATGGTTGTGCTGGCATCGCTCACACGGACTTTGTAGAAGGGTTTCCATTCTCTGCCCTTGGTGTCATCTTGAGTTCTTTTTTTATTACATTTGCAGTATTTAATGATTGTGCTGATTTGAAGAGCTGGTACATTTAATTAATGCTCCTTTAATCCCTTTTCCCCCGTCTTCACTTTCCTCCCTCTCTTGGTCCCCTTCTCATTTGTTGGTTGATGGACGGTAGAAAGTGATCTGTTGTGAGTGGTGCCCAGTTTCAGGGTATTGGTGCTGCTCCAAGACTCTGACTAGAGGGTTTATTTTTAAAAGCGGAAAAAATTATAATCTTCCCCCAGAAAAACAAACAACAAAAAATGTGAGCACTGGAAGTGATTCTTTAAAAAGGATGTGGAATAAAGCACCCTTTTATTTGCAGTTCTGATAAAGCCAGTTAAGCAGCAAGATCTTTGTTCTCTTGCCTACTACACAAAAATATGTCAGTGTGTCAGGTCCTATCAATCAAGGCTGCAGCAAAGCATTCAAGGTATATTATAATCAATGGTTACAATTGCTTAAGTGATACAGATAGATAAAAGTGGTCATACTTACCCTCCACAAAAAATGCATTTGACATCATTAACTTGGTTAAGGAGACGGGAAGTGAACTGACGGTGAAGCATAAGATATTAGCCACACCGACCAACCCAATGAAAAGATATACAGTGGAATGGTGCCAGTCCTTGAGCTTGTTCCAGTGGTTTCCTTCATACAGAGGCAGATGGGATCCTCCAGTAAAAAGTAATGACCCACAGATGCCTGCAAGAAGAACAGAGCACAGCTTTAGCAGCATTCTCCACGGCGTCGTACGGCATGCCCGATGATGAAGAGGGCACGCCCATTGCGGTCTTCTGTCCCCTTAGGGCACTGATCCTTCACCCTGGGATGTTCCCCAGGAGCCTTACTGCTGGCACTTTAACTTGTTTTGGAGGTTCAAATAATCAATTTTAGTCAAAGATTACCAATTAAATAAAGAAGCTATTTCAGATCTTCAATGTTGATGATTTTAATTCAACTTTCCATTCTAATGTACACCAGGAAAGACTTGAGGGCTTGCATTTAGATTTATAAGATCAGTTTTATAGAGACTGATTGCGTCTTTCTAAATATTACACCTTTGAGCTGCTGCCACAGAGTAGAGTGTTCTTAAGTTATTGAGCGCTCCCAATAAAAATCCTAGAGTTCTAGTTTCCACCAGTTAAAGATGACTGAAAATACCAAGACAGGTAGAGACTTGCTCTAGTCAGTCGTACAGTTTAAATTTTTTAGAGATACTGCCTAACTTGTTGATCTATTATATTAAGCAAGAAAATTTCCATCTTTAGAAATGGTTACTGTGCAATATAATGCCCTTAGCGAAGACCTCTTGTCATAAATAAAGCATAAAAAAATCTAATGGCAAATTATATTTTCTACAAAAGAGAGGTTTCAATGCAGAACACAAAGAGTTCCACAGAATCCTCATAAGCAATGGAAAGGCTTCACTATCTCCCCGGCTCTTCCACTTGAGGAAGCAAGGAGAGGAAGAAGTGCATGTGTTTAGGTCTTCCTCAGCTCAAACCCCTCTCTCAGGCTGTCAGCACTAATTTATTATGAAAGGTTTTTTGCAATTACTTGATTATCTTAGTGTCACTTGAACAATGGCTTCTGATAGTCTTATTCTTTAGAATATCAAAGCAATCAATATAAATTTTTTTGAAATTACAACCAATTCTGTAAAGAAAATTCACATTGACTTGGTAGGCAATTTAACCATGACGTCTAAATCATAGGAATATGTCTTTCTATAAACATGGACTGTCACTTTCCTAACAAATTATTTCAGACAGAAATTCTAATTCCAATATGTATTAATATTTTAATACAACTTCTTTTTAGCAGTTTCTGCATTTTATTATATCTTCTATTTATGCATGGAAATCCCAATAGGAAATAGTAAAATATGGAAATGGTCCACTCACCGGTTAAGGCCAAGATGAATATTAAAATTCCTTCCAAAATTTCTAATTTATAAAATAGTGTTTTGGAATAGTAAGTCTTCTTTTGCTTTTTGCAGAGATACTTCAGAATACATTTTGTACTCTCCGAAAGACCAAAAATAAAGCAGAATGATCCAGCAAATAGATGACCTGAGAAATCTCCTATGGTCTACAAATATAAGAATGTACAGAAGACAGAGTTTATTTCTGTAACTATTCAAAACATGTCTTCTCCTCACAGAGTCCAGTAACTTCTAATAATTATAGGTACATTGTAGATCCCAAAATTGTATTAATAAGAACTAAATTCAGACTCATTGAATACTTTGTATATATTAAGCACTGTGTCAAGTCTAGATGAAATCTGTGTCACTAATTTTTACCACAGACTCAGGAATGAGGAATTATTATTCCATTTTCAATGGAGATATGGCCTTAGCTCAATAACTTCCCCAATCTCAAAATTATAAAGCAAAACTTTGCGGTTTTTAACACAGAGCTCAAAAGGACCTCTTAAAAAGATAATATACACTCCACCATACAGTTGTCTTTTAGGCATATTTATAGAAAAGCAATATGAGATTTTCACTATTACGTTTAAATTTTGAAATGATGTGAAATTACTAAAAATTTTTAAGTAATTTCAAAACATCAAGGGTCAAATATGTGAAACATACCGTGAGCATCTAGTAAATACTTACATATTCCAAGAGAATATTGGTAATAGAGAACTAGCCTCAGGCAGCTCTCCCAAGGGACTTTGAGATGCTTACCCAGATCAACAAGTACACAGCTGCATAAATGGATACAGGGCCTTAGAAAATTATAACACAGCTGTAATGAAACTTGAGCAAGCAGTAACCAAATAAAACCCAGAAATACTGATATGTGGGTAAAATAACAGAAGTAGCATACTCCAGCACTGAACACACAGCAGTTCAGTGGGACAGGGAATCTACCTTAGGAAGAGCTAAAAATGAGAAATCTCAGTGCACTCTTAAAGAATTGATGAATTTAAAAATAGGAAAATGCAGACTCTGCTCCTAGATAGTAGATATCCTGGGGAGATGAGCAATCCGCCAAGTGAGCGGGTGTTGGGAAGGTAATTCTCAGCATTTTCCAGAAGAACTGAACAACAGTAAGATGGAAAGTTAGTTTACAAAGACTTCACTGTATCCACGGGCTGTGTGGGGAACAGAAACTCTGTTTTTTACATAGGAGCCATTTCTCTTTAGGGAAGCAGAAGACACCCTCACCAGGAGTCAGCTTGGGCCAGGAGAATGGTGACAGTGATGCAGAAAGTGAGACCAGAAGGAATGGGAAACATCCCAGCAGAGAAAACCTGGCATTCAAGCTTGGAAGGACTCTCGTTTTTGCCAGAAAACAGCCCGATGCAACTGAATTCAGCCAGGTGGAGGAAAATAACAAGAAAAAAACAGTTTGAAAACTGTGACTGGAAAGTGTGTGACCACATGAGATTTTGTATTGGTTTTACCTTGCCTCTTCTCCACTTTAAAGGTGTGTAAATCTACCAACAGGTGCTAACAGTCTTGTGTCTTTCCTCAGTCCCTCTCTTCTCCTACATGCCATCCTCACTCCCACAAATATCTTCTTAAAACCCTCAGCATTAACCCTTCACTCCAACCAAAGGAACTTATTTAATTTTTTACCTGCTATAATTTCTCCTATCTACCTCTCCTCCTATTTAGGTATACTCCTCTTTCACACATCCCTCCCTCTCTTCCCTTTCATCTACTTATACATCACAGACTTCCTGTAACAATAGAATATATACTGAAGAGCGTTGATAAAGAATGAAAGTATGAAAGCAAGGCTTCTCATATGTAGATCATATATGATTGGATTTGCTGATATTCTATAATTATCCTCTCAAAACACAGTGACAAACCACTTACATTAAAAAGCTGAAAGAGTAAATATTTTCTCTGGATAAATAAAGTTGAATGCGTATCAGTAGAAGTTAGTATCAAGCTAAAAGATTTTTATATCAACTACAATCTCTCTTC